CAGGAAGGCTGAAAAGTGTAGCACTTTTCCCTTTTACAGAACGTTCATAATAAAGTATGAATTTTGAATTGGATGGAAGATTTAATAAGCATATATGAAATATTTCATAAATAAATTTGTACTTATCAATGCTCTCTGCCAAACATAACTTTGATTTCTATCATGTTTACAAATGCATCTGTGTCTGTGTCCCAGGAGAGTGGCTTCTTCATTATTCAGGAGCAAACTAGGTAAGATGAACTAAGTAATGCCACTAAGACTGATATATTTCCAGGGTGTTTGCAAGAGTGTTGATTATGAAATATGCTTCCCCATCTGTTTCTTGATCTTTAGATTATGTGGGAAACAAAAGACATATTGTTAAACTACTTACTCATGACACCAAAGAAGGGACAATTGCTAGAACTGTGTTGATTCTGGGAGGAAAATCAATTTCAGGTAAGAGGGTGACATATACTTTGAACTGCATATTTAACATACACTGCATTGTGATACACCAGAGAAGCATCGTTGAAAACATATTTTAGGAAATCAAAAATAACACCTGAATGACATTATCACATAAGCAGCACATAGATGCTAAAATTTTAATAGGCAACTGTGCATTAGAGTGTGTTTACATTCCTTAGATCATATCCAAAACACTTTGGTAGGTATGTTAATGCTGTATTAGACAGACATGAGTTAGCACTAAGCAGATAAGAATTACCGTCTCAGTGAATGAGGTACTGAAATAGGATTTTGTCCCTTGGACCAACCAAAGAGTGTGAACCAATTCTTAACAGCAGTTAGGGTTTGGTGAAAGAAGCTGTACTTCTTTTCATCTGGAAAAAATGATGGTTCAAATTTATTTTTTCTCTTATCACTTCCGCTGACATCTTCCCTCTCCTGACTTATCTCTTCATCACTCTCTGAAGCTGCATCTGAGTCTGAATGATACACAGACAAAAACAATACAGAAAGATTCCTTATTTCCCTATTTTTGTCTAGTACCAAAAGAATTATTTAATGCATAACTTTTTTTTCAGAGAACAAGAAACTTTCAGACAACAAATGATCAAGTAGTTTTAGGAGAAAACAAGTGAAGTGACATGCACATGTCTTGGGAACAGGACAAATTATATAACTGAAATCAAATTTCAGTTTCAGAAAAAAATTATTATTCAATCAGCAGAAAATAAATTCATGTACTGCTTATGAAACCACGGACAGCAATCTTAAATATACAGTCTTACTCACAGCTCCAGTAGGTGTAGCTTTGCCAGTCAATCCCTGCTAGGTCCCCACCCCAGTCACACACCATGGCTCAGTCACTGATCTGTGCTCAAACACCTCATCACCTATTGTAGAGGTATAACTAAGCCCACACCTCAGCCTATAAACCTTTGGACTAATCTTCCCTTTGTTAGGCTTCTCTCTCCTAACATCCAGCCTGTTAAAATACATGAGTTTCAAACAACTATTAGCTGTTAACACTGATAACAATATTACTGCACAAAAAGCAACAATTTTCCTTCCTAGTAGCTCAAATAGCTTAGGTGACTCCATCCTTGAAGGTGTATTTTAATACCACTGTTGCAGTTTTAATGTTTCATTAAATGATGCAAATATAAAACTAATACCTTTGGGAATAAAAAAAAAAAAAAGAAGTCTTATTGGGATTTAAGAAGAAAAAAACATGTAATGTGGAGAAAAGAGACTCATCCTATATAAGATCTTTGACTGTATGTGCTGCATTACCTGACTGAGAATCTGCATAGGTTGAGTGAGTGGTTGCACCAAAGGAACCTGAGGAAGGACTATGGGAAAACGATTGTGGAATAAAACGTGGTTGCAGAACAACTTCTCCACTATTGCAGTCTTTACTGTCTGTAAAGCAAGATTCAAATTGCAGTTGAGAAAACATATTTTATTGTCTGTGCTCTAACAGTTTTAAAATTGATATCTGCTTTATATTTTTCTATTTTGTGCTTTAGTTAATCAAGTAACCATTCTCATTTGACTTACGATGAAAAATCTCACTTTGGCCAGAAAAATATTTCCTGCATATTTTTTTTCCCCACTAACTGTATGTTTTACAAGATGAGTCTTCCTACTTGCTGAAAAGCACCTGTCAGAAAAATGCCAATTCGAGAGTTCTGTGTCATGAACAAAATATTGTTAAGGACATATTGATGACAGCTGTGCAATGAGTCTCAGTATACCATTATGAAGCTACTGCAGTCTCAACAACATATACTTTGCAAATCAAACTCAAAATTGTACTTTATCAATACATCAGTTCTGAAAGAACACAGGTTTAGACATTCTCATGTTAGCCTATGACAGGATTAGAGGACTCTGCTCTGATGTCAATCTCCAGACCAAGAGCAGACGAGGAACCAAGTGTAGTTTCTAGACAATGAAAGTTTACTCATACTTTTTGAAAAACTGCAAAACATTCTGTAAAATTTGGGTCTGTTCAGTATTTTTCAATAAACATTACCTAATCACTTCTACATTTTCCTCATTTTCAAGAAGAAAATAGAAACTATTGAATGGTTTTAAAAAGTTAATTGCATCTCTCTGCAATTAATGAGGAAAAATCCTGTCTCGATCACATTCCCATTGTCACACTGCAAACATTGATAATACCATTGGATATAATGTAATTTAAGAGGTAGAGTGTTAATTGCTTACCGCTTCTCAGGATAATTTGTTGATTGGAGCCGTGAAATGCCAAGTATGGGTATAAAGTAAGAAGACAATTCTCCGCTGTTGCAGCAACCTGAATTGAGAACCTGTTGAAAAGAAAATACAAAACTTACAGTTTTCTATTTAGCAATGGCAATCAAGGTATTTCAGCACAAGAACAAAGACAGAATTAAAGGTGTCTGGACCGCTTCTCAGGATAATTTGTTGATTGGAGCCGTGAAATGCCAAGTATGGGTATAAAGTAAGAAGACAATTCTCCGCTGTTGCAGCAACCTGAATTGAGAACCTGTTGAAAAGAAAATACAAAACTTACAGTTTTCTATTTAGCAATGGCAATCAAGGTATTTCAGCACAAGAACAAAGACAGAATTAAAGGTGTCTGGACAACTTCTCTGCTGTTGCAGGAGGATACACAGCTGGGACTGCACCTATCCAAATGTTGAAGTTATTTCCACTTCACACTTTTACTATGAACATGGGTTTATCATCAGCCTGGAAGAACTAGCAGAGATTTCATGAAATAAATTAACTCTGTCACTCTAAAAAGAAAAAAAGCTATTAAAATTACAGATGACACTTAGGAGAGTCCTAAAGACAACTGGTAACTTGCTCAATATTGTCCCATAGTTTTTGACAGGGGAAATTTTCTTTAAAAGCAACTTCTATTTTGATGCAATATTTACTCTATAAGCAATGTCAAAATAAAAATTTAAAAATCAAAATAAATCCAATTTTAAAAAATGAGATGCTGACTGCACTTGCTAGAATCTAACAGAAATTGGTGTACATGCTCCAGTGTTCGCTGGAGTGTCTGTGCTATCTGTAGCAGCATATTAATGGGCAACAATCCACCTTTAACCCTTTTTTGCTACTTCACCTCAATCTCTTGGAGTATAGGCAACAAGCAAATTATTACCATCAATGGAACACTGTTAACCAGCTGTATTTGTGGTTTCAGCTCATTGTAGCTGACAGGCAATTAAAATTAGCTTAGCCCTGTGTCAGTACATAGCTGGGTCTTTACTTCACATGGACTTAGTAACTAACATTAATATTAATTAACTGTTTTGACTAAGCTGTCAAAAATACAGAGAAAAATGTATTCTAATAATTCAAACAGCATGCTGATATCCATCTTGCTTAAATATTCTGAGAATTATGCATATTGAAAATATCCCTTGCACAGGATAAAAGAACATAATTTCTATTTTCTTTAAATAACATATTGAAAGGTAAATTCCTATTTATTGCAAATTTAGAGTAATAGTAAAAGACATAACAAGACCTTTCATATTAATTTACAATATGACAGATTTTACTGCTTCTTTAAAGAACAACACAATCAAGGAAAACAGAAAGGTTTTAAAGGTACCAGAAAATAGTTTTTCCTTCCTCTCTCATACTTCCCTCTCCAAACACAACAGCCTTAGACATCCCTTTCAGAGGAACTTTATGAAATAGCAAAAGGCTCCAACAAAATCCACAGCCATCTTTATTAGCTGTAAATAGTCACATTTGGATTCCAATTTGATAGCTAACTGTTATTTAAGTAACAAATCAAGCTCTGCAATGCTTTGTTTTGTTCTTAGGACATATCAATCCTATTGAACTGAGCTGGAGTGGGACAAGGGCCTTGGACACTTTCACCTTGTAGCATAGTGCAACATATTTATTTTGTATTTGCAGCAGAATTTAACTCAATAATACAAAAGTTTGTGTTATTCTCTTGGAATGAAAGGTACCTGTATTGCTAGCAATGTGTAATCACTAAATTATTTAGTGTGTTCAGCTTTATAATGTTTAATAAAGCAGCTTTTAAATTTGTTATCTATATGAACCATCACTGCCACTGCTATTTCAGTGTTTATTCCCTCATGCAAATTTCCAAGGAACACAGAACAGGAGAATGGCCATTAAATACATTTTGTTTACCAACATTTGAAACCTTCTGATCACCAAAAACTAAAGTTCCAACTATGATGACAAAAAATACCATCCAACACCCTATAAAAAAGCAGTTTGTTCACTTCTCTTAAATTAACTGATGATTTGTTTGTTTGCTCCTTCATTTATTTTAATATATGTGGAAAGACAAAAGAACCTGAAACAAAGTGTATTTATCTTTTTAAATTTGTTCTATAGCATTGAGATGTTTCCCTAGCAGAAACAAGTGATTTGTTTGCTATCAGTGCACCCCAAGTACTAGAAAGGTGAAGGCATAGTTAAATAACCTTTCTTCAATAATATCTATTAACAGATGCAGAACATCTCTAACAATTTCTAAAGAGAAAGAATCCAAAGCCATTAGCATCTAACTGACAAAATCCTGTAGCAACATTGTTTGGGTAAATTAAAAAAAAAATTTCAGGGAAGCTCACTCTGCTAGTTTAGGAAATAAAACCAACTGCTTGTAGAATTGGTTAGTGCCAGCAGAAAACTTGACATGAGTGAGAGGCATTTTACAGATCTTTAAGGATAAGGAACAATCTAGACACAGGAAATTCTCAATTTAAAAAAAAAATCAATAAAGACCTGCATTCCTCTCTCCCCTCAAAAATCCTAGAACAGATCCACAGATAACAGAACTGCAAGGCAGAGGAAAAGATGACCCATGCCAGCTCTGCCATCACTATTCACAACTCAGCAGCAGTTCAGGCCTCCACAGCAACCAAAGGAACACAATAATGAATAGTGACAGACACACAGTTTCGCACTATATAGAAGACTTATAGCTGGGAAAACAGCCACGTTTTTTCGAGCAGCAGCAATAATGTCAGTTCTTAATTCCTAAATAACAGATGCTTCAGCTGTCAGGGACCATTACAATGGTAGAAAGCCACAAGCACAGAAAATCTCAGGAGTGATTAATGGCTTTGGACCATCTTGGGCTTCAAAAGCACTTCCAGCTATCTGAGGTAAAATGCCAATAGATCCTTAGGTCAGATGAATGCTGAAAGCAGCATGCAAATACCAAGAAGTCCAATGTTTTCTGGCTCCCTGCTCTCTCCAGATTTAAATGACACTGAAAGAAATCGACAGCTCCTGTTCTCTGAGGCATCCCAGAGGAACATGGTCCACATGCCTTTGACGCTCACCAGCGGCACTGACCCAAGAGCTGCATGGCCTAGGCATGTTTCCCAGGAGCAAAGAGAGCACACAGCTTCCCCCCACGAGACACTCAGAGCTGAGGGACTATCAAAACAACTGGAACCGACTCCTAACTGGGCTAGTGAATTGGTCTCAGTTGCCTCATATTTTTCTTAGAGGCTAAATTCCCTGACATCCTCTCCCCCTGAAGTTCCAGCCATGAACGTAGTGAATAAAATCAGAAATTGCATGAGTTTCTGCAGCTTCCCAGTGGGAGAGGGAATCAACAGAGAGCTGCAGAAATTGGGAGGCAAAGACCTCAGCACATTTGTGTCATCAGTGATCACAGCAATTTATCTACCCACCACGTCGGGGATCTGGGGATGTTCTACTGCCCAGAGCACCAATTCCTTTGATTGTATGACACAACAGGTACCTCTTGTTTGCTACTTATTTTTAGAAATAAGTTAAATGTCATTTCTGCCAGGATGGCAGAAGGCTTTGTTTCCTGCTAATTTTTTTGTCTAATCAGCAAATTAAAAAGTATAATAAAATTAGAGAACAAATATATCAACATGCCAGGTTCACAGGGTGTCTTTTGGATTAGCTTTTTAAGTTGAGGGAAATATGTGCCATAGCCAAGTATTTCTTCCCATTTATTACATACCTGCTCAAGACACTATTGGATTTTATGTTATCTTTTACTTCTGTATTCCTATCAGCCTTATGCAAGGAAATGTCATTTATTCTGACTTGAAGACAAAAGAGCCAAAAGGAAGACTAAAGATTTAAAATAATATTAGAAATAACTGCAAATTCTCATTTAAAGCAGTCATTAAATAAACATTAATGAACTTTCTTATGTTCCATTTAATGGAATCTGTGCACACAATAAATTACTTGCATAAATGACAACTATATATCTCTTCGTTCTCTTTTACAGCCACATATAACATGGCTTTGTTATAAGAAATGATTGCCTGTCTACTTTCCAATATTTTCTGTAAAGCAGCCAAATTCAACACTATCTATCCTCCACCCAATGTTCACTCTGATTCAAAGAGAAAAAAATCATTATTATTTAGAAGGACTAAATATGACCATGCAAATCAATCCTACTGACATTTTAGAACTTAGAAAACACTGCAGAGCCTATGTTATAAAATTACCAAAGGAGTATTTGCCTAGCCAATACTTCTGGCTTGAAATATGCCTAGAAGTAGTTTTGCTTATAAGCTAAGGCTTCTCTTCTAAGTAGTTAAATACAGGATATGATATTTTATCAACATATGAAAATTTTAACTTGCTTATTTTAATAAGAACATCCCAGAATATGAGTTGAAGTTCAATATTGTAGTTCAAATAATTTTAAAATACATATTATTACTTTGAAAATGAAAATATAAAGAGGTAATACCTGACAAATTAATACATCTTCAGCAACTGAGACTGAGATTTCACAGTCTATTAAACAGTCCAGGAACCTATTCAAGATCAGTTAGCTTTTATAGGTGTTGTAAAAGGTTATAGGTTTCACTATTTTATTATTAAGGGTCTAGAAGACCCTGAAATCTCCTCTTCCTAAAAGACTCAAATTAACAAAGCAGTTTAAATTCATTAGTTACACAGTTTGAAACAAATTGCTCAAATGCTTAGATAATTAGTCGAATCAGGTTTGAAGTTTGAACTCTTTGCAAAGGATTCCCATGGGGACAACCTGGCAGGAATGAGGGTAGATATGCAGAGAACAAGAACTTGCAACTATGTATTATTATTATTATTATTAATTTATCAAAGCACATAATAACAATAGCAAGAAAACTGGATAAATTAATCAAGTCTGGATAGACTGTCATGGACTTAATCTGAGTAATAACAATATGCTCAGGATTGAGAATCAGTTGCTTCCTTGGACTTACCCAACTGAACGAAAGAATTCTTTCTGGTTATGAAAACAATAATTTCTTCTGAAAGCCAATGTGAATGATATTACTACACTGACTAACAGCACATAGAAAATCCCTTTGGTTTGGGTCCTGTGTTATTCATCCAATCGTGCTCAGGTTTCAGATCATCTGCTCCTAAGCCCATCAGACACAACTGCCCGACAGGAAATCCCATGCATTGCCAAACCTCTACTGTCCTTTAACAAAAACCTAACTACTCCGTTGTAAAACTCAGCAGCAATTCTAAGATGATTTGACATGATGGAACATGAATTTTTTCACCTTCACGAGCATGAATGGCTTTTAAGTTTACTTAGATGACTTTCATTTGCTATCTCCTATTAAAAGACACATTGAGTTTGCCTTTAAATTGAGGGTCATATCCTTTATTTCCTTTTAATGGCAAATATAGAAAAAAGTTTATTACACAGGAGAAGTTTTTATTTCTCTATAACAAGCTCTGAGAAGCTGCTAGTGCATCATATAAAAAGTTATTAAAACTAAATATTGTGCCTGCTCAGCAGCTACATTTAAACCTTAGCATAAGCTTAAATTATCCTTTTCTTGCAATTACTGCACGCTTTTATGAATCACATCCAACACAACAATTAAATCTTAGAATTAAATAAAATTAACAAGAAATAGATTCTTGGCTGACAATCTATACAGCAAAATATAAAATACCAAACCAATGTAAGCAATAACTGAAAGGTCCATAACCCTTCCACCAAAATAAGGTCAAATTTGGTTTCATACTTAGGAAAAAGCCCATTCTAAGCTGTAGGGTGATGATATTTAACCCTCAAAATAGTTGCTTTACTGAAAATAGCTACTGCAGGAATGACTTAATTACAACAGTACCTATATTTCTTCCTCATGCATATAACCACTCATCCCAGCAAGGGGACAGATGAACGAGACACAAATTACCTGTAGCTATGAATGAGACCTTGAAAGAAGACCTTAGGATGGCCACTTAGATGAATTTTACCTTAGAGACCAAAGCTGGTTTTCGTGGGTTTGAAATGCAATGTAGTAAAAAAGAAAAAAAAAAAAAAACCAAAAAAAAAAGAAAGCAATTTCTATGTTTCACTTACATTTTAGTCAGAATGATTTTTGTATGCCTTTACCCAACTGTGATGAGACCTGTGTCTTATATCCAAATTTGTCAGTTTGGACCCTTCTTCCAAATGTATAGGAATTGCACACATTACCTGTTATCTTCTTCATCAGTGAAGATCATGTTCCCAAAAAATGACACTGGCCTAGATGATCTGAAGCTAATCCAGCAAGTTAGCACCTTGTGTGTGCCATCTGATGGGAGAACAGTGTCTTGTCCTAGTGGGAAGTGCACAGAAAAAGGAGATAGCCTGGCACCATCTTCCATTTCAAGCTCAGGAAGTTCAACTTGAATTCGTGACTGCCTGTGTTAAAAACAAACAGGAAAGGTGTTTGTGCTCCCAGGATTAGAGCAATAAAATTGATTCACACATTCATGACACTGTTTCTCACAGTTAAACAGAGAACAGTAACTTTAGTTTTGAAGCACAAATCAAATTAAACTAATGAAAGAATTAAAATTCCTTCAGCATTTAGATGATAGGGATAGAGTTAGGGTTTTTTGTTTTCTTCATATGAATCTGAACATTTTATACTGACTCACAATAGCTCAACATCCAAAGGAAAAGCAATTATTACTTATACAAAAGGCATAAATAGGTTTCTAAAACTTAAAACTCCCATTAATATTCACTAAACTGCATTATT